AGTGATATTGGTATTATATAGTGCACGAAGTTAACCAGTTAGTCTTGATGCTTTACATTTCAAGATTCCAAGAACTGATTGAATTTGAATCCTCGAAGTACATGCGAGTGATTGCGAAATCGCGAAGAGGAATGAATGCCAATTAACCGGAAGTCTGCCCGCTGTTCAGCAGACAGCAAGTCTACTTAAGTACTTCCCATATAGATTTCCTTTGGGTCTCCTCAGTTGAGAACCAATCCTCTTGGATCATCGATCATTGCAATTAGATGCGTATCGTTTCTTATTGCTTACTTTTTCAGCCATACTTTTTTTTTCTAGCGATCTTTTAATTTGGTGGAAGTTAAATTACGAAGGGAATTAGGCCTAATTAATATATTTACACCACCGCTAATAATGGTCATTAAGGCCAAACAATTATTTTTAATCGATCCTCTCTCGCTAATGAGGGAGCATCAAATAGACTCCTCTTTCGCTTCTGCTTTCCGCCTATCTCGCGTGCTTCAGCTAAAATTTCCGGCTAATTGCATGTGAGCCGTATGCAATAATTGTGCTCACATTATTTTTTTTAAACGACATTAATTTATTCCTCGAAAAAGAAATGCAGCTAACATTATTTTTTCTTATCTGAAGGCACAAATAAACAAATACTTTTAAAATTCTGATAAAATTAAATTTTCAGACTGAAAGAAAGACCAATATAAGAAAGATTATTATTATTAAATTTTGATTTTTTAATTTTTATTCTTCAGATAAGAAAGATTCTACATAAAAGAAAAAAAAATTTAGTTCAAAAAGTATAGTTCATACGTTAAATGTCAATATTCTATAGATTAGGTATATTAGAAAATACAAGTTATTATGTAAAGTAATGATCTTACTATAATATAAAAAATGACGTAAATATAGATGGAACATTATAACTATGTTAACCTAGCGGCTTAATATATTAAAATATTGAACGAAACTATTATTTTACAAACTTATTATTACACAAATGAATATATATAATAATTAGGTAAAGAATAAAATATCGTACTATTTGATGATTGAACTATTTCTAATAGTTATTCTATTAAATAATTCTACAAGAAAAGTTCTTGTATTAATTAAATTTAGGGCATACGTGTGTTTTTATTTTACGAGAATATCTAAAAATAAATGCGTTATTAAAGTTCAAGAAATAATTAGGAATAAATTGATTAAAAAATATTAATAAAAAAGGTATATAAATCTATTATATCGTAAAATGCTGTTGAATAATTCATGCAATTTCTGAATTTATTATTTTCTTAAAATGTTTATGTTCGTTTACAATGTATATTAAAATAATAGTTTTGGTATGATTATTTTCTGACCTTAATAGTCTTTACTTATAACTGCTTTTCATGCATAGTTTTAATTAAATTCTCTATTTATTTAGAATATTTCACTTACGTATAAATTATGTTTTTAGTGGATTTATTACATATGTTATTACTTATACTGATATTTAAGAATTAAGTTTTATAATTTTCCCAATTTTTTTAATAATTACATTTTATACTACTGTATTAAGTATTTATAGTGTGTTAAAGGTACGATATGCAGTTTTGTATGAATCAGGTGTGTGAGCAATAACCGAACGGAAATATAATCCAAAATCAGTTTTTGGATTGTCGCGTTTCCGGTCCAGACACCAGTCTTTCTTGTCTGCCTTTTTTTGCTCGTTCTTTTATTTTGTTGATGTTTATTTTCTTCAATCGTTTTTGAGCAAAACAATTCCGAACCTTTCTCACCATGATTCGAATGCAAGTCGCGGCGGGTTCATTTTTGGTCGAAACAACGCCTCTTAATTACAAGCCTCTGTGGTAAATTTTGTTTATTAAGCAGTTGGTTGGATGTGTGGAAATGTGCGCTTCATTCATAAGTTTTGTAAAACGGTTGATGAATATCTTCGACGTGTATTTTTGGCACTTCCTGACCCAATGACCTTCGGTGCTTCCACAGCCTATGACCACATGTGAAAACACTTGAAGATGCCTAATTTTGGACGCGAACAAATTTACCACAAACTGCAAGAAATTTCTACTATTTCTCCCACTTCCTCCACCCACCTTGCAAAAGGCAAATCCCATTTAAGTTGTCCCATGCCGCAAGCATGTGGTTATTTTGTGGTCTCCTAAATGTGTTCTACCACAATTTTGTACTATGAACTCCTTTCGTAAACAGTGCGGGTAATCAATCATAGCTCTATGCGTCATTTGTGCAACTTTGGCAAATTAGGTTTAACACAAATGAGTAATGTTTTCAGTATAATTTGTAGTGGAAATGATGTATTGCTGAATTAACGTGATTTATATTAATTATGTATTATAATCATTCATGTACGTAATAAACGATTTATGATTAAATTGTTCTAAAAATAGAAATATATGTGTCAATAACTCGTTATTGATTCAATTGCACGAAAAAGTATATTTGTTATATAATAACAATATTATTGCAATTATTAAAGTTATTATTTTAAGAAATTACAATATAATTTGAATAGATTCAAAACAAAATTTTATAATTATACAAAAATTTAATAAACTATGAAAATGTTGCATACAGTCGACAACCTAAATGCAATATATAATATATTTTTCTTGTTAATCCACTTTATTTCAAATATAATAAAATACTACCAACCACCATAAATATAATGACTTACTTACATATGATAATGTAATTTCTTACTGAACAAGTACAGTTTATGCGATAAAATTTAACTTTAATAATTATAACATTCCCATAATGTCGTTATCAACAAAAATAGAAAAGAAATGTAAAAATTAAATCATATAGTAGTATTTTTCAATTAATTAAGTTTTTTTTTCAATATTAATAAATATTAAATATATTTGTTCCAGTGGATTTTACTACAATGTGAAAGAATAAGTGAAAATTTTAAAAACTTGGTTACAATAAACGTTAGTTAGCTTAATATAGATAAGCTTTCAAGAAATAAAAGTAAAATTTAGGTTAACGTTAATATAAGTGATAAGAGATAGGATGAAAATGGCGTAGAACTATTTTCGTTATAACTGCATCATCTATGAGTTACGAGTTTTAGAAAAGTATAGAATAAGCTAGCTGTTGATGCATATTGCCCAATCGAAAACCTCCCAATTCGTAATTCTTATGAAATACGCATTCCATGTATAAGCACATAAAATAAATTTTAAGTATTTCGTTGTTAATATTTGAGGAGTATTAAAAAATCATGTCCAATTATAATGCCCAAAGTTAATAATTTGTAATTATTTTGCTTAAAACAATCATTTTTATCTGATCCATCGTGAAACTAAAATTAAATTGTTAATTGGACGATTGTAAATATCTAATGTTTCTTATCGTTAATTTGTTTGACCCAGAATTTTCTGCAAATAAATCTTCGTTGTGCATGCTGGTATTTTGTGCAAGGTATGTTTTATCTGCGTATCGGATCTATCTCGATTTTCACGGGTGGTTATTTCTGGATTTTTAATGCATTCCGTGGCGCATCGCACCCGATTTTATAATACGCTCCAACCCCTTGACCTGCCATGCCAATGGGTCGTTCATCAACGGAAAATTCTGTTCACCTCCGCCTAGTCGATAATAATATCCATTGGCGCATTTCCCAGAAACGTACATTTGCATCATTACAGCTTACATGCAAATTCTCAAACTAATTTTCTCCAACGAAGTTTGATCGATTTTTATTTCAGTATAGGGTTTTCTTTTCGTAACCATGAATATATGCATTTATATTTTTAGCTTTTTTTTATGGCTAGAGAAACAAAAGTAGCTAGTTTTAAAAACTAATTATAGCTCGTTTTTTTGCTCATTCTATGTAAGAAAATGTGAGAGGAAGTTTTGTTCATTTACTCTTTTCTCCCTTAAAGGTGCATGTTTTCGAAAGCGTTTCCGAGGTTTTTAGATTTTAAGTATGAATCTGTGGATTTAAGGGGGTTTGGAATAGCACATGTGGCTCGTATAAATATATATGTATATAATAATAATCCGGTGGTGCGCTTCTTTTCTTCTTCTAGACAGAGAGGAACAGAGGCCACCTGCGGTAGGGTGAGGAATACGTCTAGACGCGTGTTGGTCCCGTGCCTCGCAGCTGCACCAAAAAAGATCTTCGAAGCTAAGTTCCTTGTCCTTCTCCATCCCTAAACCACTCTAAAGGGAAGTGCGCTGCTGCCGTGGTGGAGGAGGAGGAAGGTCAGAGGGCAAGACCGGTGCACCTGGTCTTCCTTTCAACCACCCCACATTCATATTTTGACTTCAATATCTTAATTACTTAACCTTCGGTGGTTGTTAGCCTCTTAAAAATATGTTTGATTAACGGTGATTCGGACCCATTCCCAACAAAAAACAGATATGTATTAAGCGGAGGGATTCACAAAAAAACAAACAGGAAGGATGTAATCCTTTCATTATTAACACTCAATTCTCTGATTAGTCTCACCTTTTAGAATTCAACTATTTAACTTCTCATTATGCGTTCATAAACATAAAATAATGTGGTAGTATTTGTAGAAATACTTAATCAAATTTTAAAGAATATACGAATACCACATAAATTGGTTAAAAAAGTGTATGTTTAATATACTGATGAATTTAATTTCATAAAATTATTCAACATTTCATACATAAAATAAATATAAGGTGATTCTAATTAAATAAATCCAAATAATGTAACTCAATTAAAAAAATATTGGTTTCGGTAATTTTATGTAAAAAATATATTGTTATTAAAATAACATAAAATATCTTGAAAAATTTGTTTTCTTATGAATTTATTGATTTATCTATATTCAGTTATTTGTGCCTTATAAATGATTCTTATTAAAGTATTTTTAGATCATAAGACTTAATAATCTGTAATAAAACATAATATTATAATATTAGTCGTAAGAACAGTGAGTATTATAGAAGTACTTATATAATACGTTGTCCATAATGGATTAAAATATATACGTTTATATTTCTTAATCAAAACTGCGTCTTTCTTTATTATCTTTATAACATATGTGAAAGAAATGAACTTTGACCAAATGCATTCCGAACAAGGACAAGTGTACTAGAAGAACTTGGCTCAACGTAAGAACCGTGTATAGGATTGGCTCCAGCGTGTCTTCGTTCCATTTGAACTTTGGATAAATGTAATTGTTCCCGTAATAATCCTGGCCACCGCTCTTACAATACGCAAAGTTAAATATGGCGTATATCAGGCCAATAGCCTGTGCTGGAACGACTAGTAGCAAGTAGATCGGGACAGAAGTGACGAAGAAGTCCATCACGACGATTATAGCGGTCCACGTATGAAAGTACTTGCTTGTGTCTATGGTGTCATCCTCCTTCATATATCTCACACCGAACCAAAACACGAAAACCACACAAATTGCGAAGCAAATCGATATGTTAAAGCAAATCAGGTAGCATTTATGCAGGAATCTAGAGTTATGGTCTTCCGGTTTGCCATCCTGCTGCTTGATGTAAGCTCGGCAGACGGCGAACAAGCCCAACATGCTGTGCGCGAAATTGATCCCAAACGACCAGTAGGTAAAGTACACCAGAGATATGACCAGTTTTTCGGATGGTGTCAAACGTAACTTCACGTAAACCGTGAGCAGAAAACACATGAAGTGCAAACATCTGTAGATGAGGTAGTGTTCGTCGACGCGTCGCGTCGCCTGCCATCGCGTTACACTGAAATCCTCATCATAACTATACTCAAGCTTCAGTCTAGATATAGTAAACTCTTCTCGGAATGGTTTCCACTTACACATAATACCAATATGACAATGTCACTAACGTCAAAAAAATCAATAGTAAAAATAATTAATAGTAGTAGTTGTTAATTTATAGTGAGAAACTTTAAATATGAAATTGCGAATGAAGACACTCGTGATTATAAACATTTTCTATAATTTTACGATTCCTTTGTAATAATATAGCAATTTAAATATTTCTCGTGAAAATGAATTGAGTTATTTGCGATCAGAATTCGTTTAAAAGTAAGCATCTGTTTCTTCTTGGAGAATAGGAAGAACTCGAGCCAGCGGCATTACATAATATGTATCCTCTCGCTCTTCTGTCCTTACTGTTTTTTTTAATGTATGTTCTTGGGGTGGGTGGATTGTAATGGATTTTTTTCGTTAATCGTTTCGAGGGGATGCGAAGGCTGCTGCGGTTAAGATTAAGAGGTGTATAATGAGAGTTGCGGCAGGAGAGAAGTGCCTTTCTGTACCTTTCTGCTGAGCTCTTGTTGTGTGTGCATGTGTGTATGTATATGTGTGTGACAGCTGGCGGGCGGCGGCGCGGATCGCAAATACACCTGCCCTCTAAAAAGGCACAGGAACTGTATTAGACCAGAAATAGGATGAATAGATTGTGCATGGAGGTAGAGTACCCAGATTTCTTTAAATACACAACCTTTTGATAATCGCGTTTATCACATGCGAACCTCGAAAATATAGCGGAACCCAAGAATTATCTTATTGTATTGTCTCTTTTTGTTGTTGTTCTTGAGTGCGATAAAGTGTATCTCGTGTTACGCAATTTGTGTCCACTTGCGTGAAAAGCCCCTCCAGGGGACAGCAAGCAGGCGAAAGGGTTGCACGTGTTTGTGGACCACCCAGTTCAGCCACCAACGCCCGCCACCCCACGTGCCATTTCATCGATATCCCCTTTAGATTACGTAATCGAGAGCCTATGCATCGATGACTGGCTGTTATTGCACATAAATCTCGCCCTCTCATGGCAACCTTTAACAACCAGGGTGTTATTATTCCGTTCCATTTGAACCCCCGGTATCGAAGGAGAGTGAATAAAAAAATGTATATACATACATAAGTAGACGTCTTATCTCCTCTTCCAATTTAGATCTTCCAGGCTCAACTGCGCCCTAAGCGATCAAATCTATTTTGTAGAAATATTACTTATCAGATAAATATTGAAACAATTTAATATCCTATTAACACTGATGATATTTACTTGTTCAATGAATTACATTTGTTTTATTATCTTTTAAATAAAATCTCTTTTTATTTATGAACATTAATTCATATTACAATATTTTTAGTAAGTAGCAAAATTACTGTGATGTTATATTTTTTATAATAATATTTATTGAAATAACTATAAAAAAAACCATAAACCATTACAACGGGTTATTGACCGTATTTCTTAAACTTATTATTAATATGTAAATTATAAGTAAAAGGCATATGCAAATTAATATTATGAAGTATTTTAATAATAACAATGTTTTTTATATAAATATATAATTACATAAGTAATTATAGACATAAAAAGTGTGAAATATAAACACATGAATCATTTCAACGGCCTATTTATCAAAAGATCTTGAGTTTATGTTCATCTACAGTTCATGTTGTTTTTTTTTTAAATTTTATTTATTGATAATGTTAGAGGCTTATTTTTTCAGATAAAATTTAACACGAATAAATTAGTTAAGACCTTCTAGAATTTAATATTATTGCTTAATTTTGTATAGTCAATTCTCAATCTCAATAATATGGAAATATGTGATTTGATATGTAAGAAACTAAATTGTTGACTATAAATCTCTTAGTTTTATTATTGACTTGAAACATTGATTGAAGTATGCATTTTTCATTAAAATATACTGAAGATGTGCACGCGAGACTTTGCTTATCAGACGTATTGTGCACGCACCTTTATATATTCGTATTTCTGACAAAATTGCAATTCATACAATATAATCTGTAAAATATGCAATGTATAATATCAGTGCTTTGGATATTTATTTTATGAAGTACATATTTATTTATGCTCTATATTATCACAAAAAATAGTAAAAGTATTATAATTTTTATAATCGGAAGAATTATATTTATCTCGTAAAGGTATTTTACGAGATAAATATTTGACTTAACATAATGATTGTGTGATTAGTAAAAAAATACAAGTCATTTAGTATATAAAAACGGAAGTTGATTGTTTCTCATTTTCACTGTGCCTCCTTCTTTATTTTACAATTTTAATTCATGTAAGTGCTGGATGAATGGTTCTGACTGTTCTACGTTGATTGTTTACTTAGTTCTCATCTGTTTGCGGTTTTCCTTTTGGAGACGACCGCCACACACTTAATGCTTTTGGCAGATGTGATTTTGTTTTGTCGCGTGTGACGGAAACGCGACTCGACATTGCGTTCCTCTGTTGAAATTGCTGCTGCTTCCTTTTCCTTCTTCGTTCTGTAGTGGTTGGTAAGGCACGAGGGGATCGAGAACCTGGAGGAAAGGATAATTGAACCATGACCTACAACACACACACACCTGCCACTGTTCAGGCAGCAAAACCTCTCATTCTCTTTATCTTCGCTCCTCCGGCTTTTCTCCTCCTCCTCCACCTCTTGCTCTGTTATCCAACGGAGCGACACTTTATCAAAAGAAGTAAAATAAATACGAAGAGAGGAGTAAAAAGAATAGACTCGTCGTGGCACGTGCCATAAACCATTTTATCTTATTTATTCATGTAGCAAATCTTACCACAAAACCCTAATTCATCAGGTTGTATCATTCAAGAAACTTTAATCATATTGGCTTTTATTTTTAAATAAAAATTGTTATAAAAGTATTTTACATATGAATATTAAATTTGTTTCCACGAACAGTTCAATTTGCATTCGATATACACAGTTTAATATGAAAATGCGTCCTTTAATCTAGTAATTCTTACCTCTCATTATCTTTATATGCGATTTCAATTTGTTAATAAGGTCGTAATTTCCAATCAATTAGTCCTTCGTGGGTTGGACAACTGTTCTCTCATTTTCTCGCTCTTTCACTAGTTGTTTTTCCTCTTCTGTTCTTCTTGCTTGGAGTGCGTCATGTGGCTCGCGAACACATCGTCGGCATCTTTTCACCCATTTTTCATTCCACTTTCTAGGGTGAAACCGTATCTCCTCCCTTGTAACTACCTACCTGTGTTCCAAACCACCCTCTTCGCTTAGCTTGTATGGAATCCCTATAAAACTGAAGTACATTAAAACACACCAACAAAAAAATATAATTAATGTCGTGTCGTAATCCTAGACATGTTAAAGTTGCATAGTACTGTAATATTGATGACTACTAGATTCTAGCTTATGGATAATTACTTTATTTATGACTTAAAAAATGTATTTGCAATCTGTTGTTGAAGAACGTTAAATCATTGTAGAATTATTTCAATTTACATGATGGGTTTGAATCATTAATTTTTAAAACACACCAAACTATGAAAAGTATCTAATTTTTTTTACATAAAAAATGAACTTTTCGAACTATATTAAATATTTTCTAAATCTATTACACATATTTACGAAAATAAAAAGTCTAATTATTTACATATAAAAGATATCTTATGATTGAAAATGAACGGTTTTTATTTGTAATGTCTCTTATTTAAATAATTTAGAAATATGTTTCTATTAAATTTTTTAACTATTTTTAAAGAATAATCTTGTTAATATTTTATATTAATAGAATATATTTTTAAAAATGTGATAAAATTAGATTTTCTAAGCAATTACAAAAAAATAAGTATGTAGGAATTCCAAATGTCTTCAGTATTTAATTTATTTTTTTCTTGTCTGTCTATTCTTATGCAACAGTAAAAGTTAGTAATAGATGAAAATTCCTGTTAAGAGTTATTTTAAATACCTTGTCAGAGGTGTCAAATATCGGTGGACTCTCTTCTAATTTGAAATATTTAATTTTCAACTTAAATTTAAAAGAAAATATATAAATATATAAACCAATTAAATTACACTAATATTTTGAATAATTTATATAACTTCCTTGTAAAATATAATCTAATTCAATAGACTTATCTTTTTTAATATTTGGTTTATTAATAAAGTTAATAAACATCTGTCATTGCATTATGAACTCATTGTAGATTTATTTGATAAGTTAAGTAAAGTTATCCAACTCGTAGAATAAAGCTACACTTTCAGTATAGAAATAAGGGATGGGGAGAAAATGATCTTGTAGTTATGAACTTACTTCAACATATAAATAAAGTTTTGACCAATAGATAACATAACTTGATTCATTTACACATACTTTAATCATCGTACAAACTGAAATTATGTACATGTTTATTTGTCGATGAATATACAATAAATTGGAAAACAAAAAGGTCTGGATTTTCTGAGACGATAATAAATTAATGTTATGCAATTCGGAAGGATATGCTGGTAAAGCGTGAACAAGGAGCTCGGGGCTCGGTCTGATATGATCGTTGAAAATAAATATTTAATATTTAAATGGCAGAATGGATTAAGTGGGTGTACGTATGCGTGTGTGTATGAAAGTGCATGTAAGTTTGCTAGTGTGTTTGAGTGCATGTGTGTATGGTCTTAATGCAGATAAGAGGATAGAATAGAAGAAGAATGCGATGTGCAAAGTGATTAATTGTTTTATAAAACAAAGAGTAGCGTTTTTCTGCATTTTTCGTAATCGCCGCGTAGCGATCTCAGCTATACAGAATTCAATGCACTTAATTGTTATCAAATTTGGCTTCCGCCTCACATGTGTGAGGATTTTCCAAATTATGTTCCGCGGAACACTGATGTGAATAATTACTAAATAAATATTGTTTTTTTTTTTAATTTTTTTTATTTTGTTCATTGTGTGTTATTAACCTACACAATAAACAAGCTGTTCCATGAAAATTTCAGTATTTACGAAGTGTTCCGTTGCAAGAAAAGTTTGGGAAACCCTGTGTTATTCTACTAATGAAATATATAGTTGGTGCT